TGTGATAAGTGAGGGTGAAGTATGTATGGTGGTGATAACATAATGTGACAACAACGGAGTACTTGACGATGTTACTACTGACATTGGTACGCTAGATGGGTCTTGTGTATTTGTACTGCGTCTCGCGGGCTCTTTGTAAGTAGGCCATCCGCTCAGTTTGCGTCAGATTACGCAGCGCGTTGAGGTCCGAGTCGGCGTCTGCCTCCGAAAGGCCGTATGAAAGGTAGAACTGCCTGTACAAGTTTAACAGTTCTTCCCTTATCGTGCAGATATGCCAGATACAGACGTATGCTTTCCAACAGGGAGGGCTCCCGGAGCCTACCCAATTGGTAGCGAGAGCCAGGCGCCGACTCTTTCGTCAATCGAGCTACGGGGGGGAAGAGCGGGTCGGCAAGTCCGGAAGGTGGGGGGACTGCAGATTGTGTCAAGGTGTCACCCTGGACGAAATTGACGGGAGGTAGAGGCACGGCTGCCTCACGACTGCGCCCTCCAGAAAGGTTGACAGAGGGTGGTGCAGTCGCATTAGCAGCCGGCCTATCGCGAATCAATGTTTCGCGTATGCCTCGGTACGAGGTTGCCTTAGGAGCAATGCGCTGTAAGTTTGCAGGCTCCGTTGGAATGCGACCCCTCCTTCGAGCATTGGCGTTTCCACGATTCGGTCCGTTATAGCCGCGGCGGGATGTGTTTTGGCCTGTTAATATTCCTCATGAAGTATGAATGCGAACTAGACCTCCACTTGAGCACAGAGTGTACTGGCATTTGGTCCGCTCTACGGTGCCACACGCGGGACTATGTCTTGTCAGTCCGTTTCTGGTGAAGAATGCCTTTCCGCAGTCCTCGCAATTGTACTTGGTCTGTTTGGCAGGCCCCAGGTTGGCCGCATTACTGGCTCCTGTTTTTCCGGATAAGGTGCTTGGGCCTGCCTTACTGTTTCCAGCGACTAGAGGGCCGCTGGCGGTCTTGTTGCCACCCGCTGGCGGACTTTTCGGTTTCCCGCCCCTACCTTCGGTAGGGTTATCGCAGGTGGCTAACCGCGGTGCCTTCGCACCACGTGAATGGCTCTCTCCTCCTCTTGATGTGGCGGGGTTTTTCCTCTTCTTTGCCGGGTCGGTCATTGCGCATGCGCAGGATGACCGGAGCCAGCAAGATTAAGAGTCCTATCCTTTCTGCGTATGGGAGTGAAAACCGTTTGCCGCTACGTAGTCTGGTTCCGGAGATATCGTGTATGAAAGATTTTATCTCCGGAACTACCCCGTCCCAGCTCCTGGTATCCTAATACCAGGCCGCACTTAATACGGAGCTGAGCTGAGATTTGGTGTGTGTCCTTGGGACCGGTAGATGATTAGTTGGACGCCTTTTTGGCCCCGTCGGAGACGATGTAATTGCCAAAAGGGCAGTAGCGGCTAGACGCCGGAAACCGGCGTTGCGGGGGGCAGTCGAGCTGGTGTAATGTTCTATCTGATGTACGATGCCCCACAGACAGTATGGGGCCCGCTATTCGTCATGTGATTCTAACCTTTAATGTATGATTTTAGGTTAGAATCGTGTTGTTTATAAATATTTCCTTTTTAACACCAGCCTTTGGCACTCACCCCGCTGTTTCCAGGGACAGTGGGAATCTCGTTAATCCATTCATGCGCGTCACTAATTAGATGACCAGGCATTTGGCTATGTAAAATATTTATTCAAAAGATTTAATACATGTACCCCGAAGGTTGGATTTTTAACCCCATACGCAGATGGGTTTACATTTAGTGTGCCAGCACGCAGGCTGGTGTCCGTTGCTGTCGATGGAATGAGTGATATGTAATGGTGAATTATGTATGAGGGTGGTAACATAATTTGACAGCAACGGAGTATGTGACGAGGTTGCCCTAGGAGCGCTGCGTTGTAAGTTTGCAGGATCCGTTGGAATGCGACCCCTCCTTCGAACATTGGCGTTTCCACGATTCGCTCCGTTATAGCCGCGTCGGGATGTGTTTTGGCCTGGTACATTCCTCATGAAGTATGAATGCGAACTAGACCCCGACTTGAGCACAGAGTGTACTGCGCTGTTCTTCAGCGGCTGTGGCATTCGCAACAATTCTTCAGTTGGTTAGTTGCAGTGGTGGAAGACTCCGCGCACGCCTAGAATGAACGGCGCAAATGTCAGAGTCTTCCCAGGCCATTTCCTGGCTGCCGCTGCTATGAACTTGTCGTTGTTGTAAATCGCCTTTTTATTTGCTCACACTCCGTCCTATGATACCTGGACGTCGCACACATTATATACCATAGCCCGAGCTACAGCGTGTGTGGGACTCCAGGTTGTCTTGAGGAGGCCACCTAATACCCACTAACCCCTAACCTCCGCGTGGCCCGACTCATCAGCGCCTCGGTAGGCCATGTGTTGTGCGTGACCTGCGGTCTGCTACAACGTTTCCTCATGTGATTCAGTCTCTGGGAACGCCGGGTTGGTTCCCTTTACCTCTCACAGTTCTATCGATGTCGTTAAGCGAGCATCTATATAGGGTTTGCTATGTTCTCTTGAAACTCTTGTTTTCGAAAAATCAAGAGTTTCAAGTCCTCTACTACTTGTATGTTACCTGGTCCTGATGGGTCCTGGTCCTGGTCCTGATGGGTCCTGGCCCTGGTTGATCCTGGTCCTGATGGATCCTGGTCCTGGTGGTTTCTGGTCCTGATGGGATCTGGTCGTGGTCGTCCTGGTCCTCGTCCTCTCCTTCCACGCCGTGGGGGGGGGGGGCAACCGCGGGTTCTCCTAGTCTCCTAGTCAATAATAATAATAATAATAATAATAATAATAATAATAATAATAATAATCTATATTCCAAATTGTACAATGACATTACAAAAATTGTATAGCCACTACAAAATGAAATGTTGCGTCACTGTCACCATAACTATAGTAGTTTACCTGAGACCTTTTTTGTGTTACATGGTTATTTATCTTAAAACAGATACTATCTTATACTATTACAACTCCCATAGAACTCATCTATTGTATAAGGCTCTGACTGTACTAGAAATTACTTAATACTTTTTGAATTTATGTAAACTGTTTATGTTTTTAATTTCATTTGGTGCCCGTACCGCTGGCAGCGGTAGCATTGGCTGGGCTCGGTCGATCTCTTTTTCTTCTCGAAGCTGACCGTGAGCATGGCCAGCCTCTGGACCTCCTGCTGCTTTTCCGCCATCCTCGTCTTCACGAGGAAGAGCGGTAGCGGCTGCTTGGTGTTCCTGGTCTTCATCTGTTGAACGTCGACGTCTGCGATCCCTTGGCTCACTAGATCCTCTTTGATGTCCTCAAATGACATCTCCCTGGATAGTCCTCGAATTACCCTCTAGTCCATCCTTTCCTCCTTCAGTTGGTAAGTGAAGAAGGGCCTCTTCATTGAGTCTGGCAGGGTTACTAGCTGACGGTAGTCTGCCGGTGTGTTGGTAAACACCTTCACACTGTTCCCTGCAGTCCTCGCTTTAGAGAATTGGATTTCCTTATTGTTGATCATCCTGCTTAAGAATGACCAATCAGCGGTTCCCTCAATGTTGATTGGAGGAACTCCTGTTCCTAACATGGGGGCCACGATGGTCCTGGCTTCTCTAGGACTCTTCTTCTGGGTAGTAGCTGCCTTGGCTGCCTGGGTGCATCGTCTTCGTCGGAGGAGGAAATCCTACTCTTTTCTTCCGCCTGGTGACGACACTGTAGTCCGAGTCGCTCTTGTCGGCTGACCTCTTCTTTTCTTCTGTGTCGTCCTGTTGCTGGCTGTCCTCTTCTTGGGCATCCATCTCATTGTCTGATGTGGTCTGCTGGTCCTCGTCTTCTTCTTCTGCTAGGATCTTGTTAGCCTTCCTCTTCGCCTTGAGGAGCTTCCCTTTGACTTCCTCTTTCTCCTGTTATGCCTGCATGTAAGCTTCTTGCAACTTCTTCATCTGCTCTGCAAGCATGGTGAAAGCATCTTCCTTCTGTTTTAGCTGGCTTGTCAGCTTTTCGATTCTTGCCGTCGTGGATAGCAATCGTATCGCGATGAAAATCACAATAAGATCGCACTGTAAGTCCGGGTGGGTCGCAGTTGCACAAGTGTACACTCGCGACGGCTGCTAGCTCGGAACTGACCACGTCTCAAGTTATATATATATATATATATGAGAAGTAGTCATTGCCAAAGCCAACGACTAGTTGTGTACAAAATACAATTACTTGTTAATTGGGAAATTTGCAAAACTTCTAGGCTTAAGTTGACTCTTTTGACGATAAAATCAAGCTTTCGGCATTCTCTATGGAGCCATCATCAGGATTCTGAAAACACAATAGTGATGCTAGCAAAGAAGACAGATTTAAAATGTCAGACAACTTACTCGTCGGTGAGGTTGCAGCCACAAGGTGTTTCAGAAAGAACGTAGAGAATATCGAACTTGTGTTCAGTATAAAAACCAAAGGACGAGGACATTGGGCTTGTTAAAAAACGACAGATACCTTCGTTAAAAGCTAAGAAAAAATAAAAATTACATCAATACACCCGAACAAGCTAAAAATATTACACGTGGGGAGACATTTTGTTGAAACAATCGAAATGCAGTCCTTAACCTTCTACTACCGCTACACGTGGAGAGGGGGAAAGGCACGGAACGGTACAGCGTCGACAGAAGACAAGTGATTGACGCAACGGAACGCGGAAATGTACACCTCCCTGTCCAACTTTGGGTGAAAATAACGTTAATAATATCACCCCCACCGCCGAAAACACAAGTCCGACTCAGACGCCTGACATGTCAGACAGGGTACTGAATGTCAGTGAAAATGAGTTGGTATCGCCAGCAGCTTCTCCAGAAGAGACACTTTGGAGACAGGATGTTGCTAAGACTGCCCGTAGCTGCAGGTTGACTCGAGCGGCACAGCAACACCTGGAGGTGAACACGGTCACCCAGCTGCTCAGAAATGCAATCTCCGAGACTTGCGATTTGCCTATGGGGTAGCCCCAATCGCAAATAGACATTATACATGACAGAGTCACCGCTCTCTTCGTCAGCGAGGAGCGGGGAGTTGCAGGGCGACGAAAGGGAAGGCGTAGAGGACAAAATAAGAGGGGCAACAGACGGTACCTCTACGCCCGTACCCAGGACATATACAAAAAGGAACCAGGCATTCTTGCCAAACACGTCAGTAACAACGTGGACTGGCTGGAGGAACCAGGGGTAAAAGCTCCAGCCCAAGACGTGCGGGACCTGTACAGAAAGCTTTGGGGCACAAATCCGTCTGAGGTACAGGTGCCCTTCCTGGGAGAGCCCTCCGAACCAGCACTTGAGTTAGGTACTGTCCTATCCGCAGTAACGGCGAAGGAGGTGAACACGCGTCTCTCCCGGATGAAAATGTCCACAGCACCGGGGCCCGATGGTATTAAAAAGGGAAACGATAAACGCGTTCCCGGTGCAACTGAAGTCCTCCAATTATTCTTTAATTTGATCATGATAAGCGGTAAGATTCCTACCGCTTGGAGGAAGAACCGAACCACATTGATCCCTAAAGAAGGTAAGGACGGTATGTTAGCTGAAAACTACCGTCCAATTACAATCTCTTCATTACTGTCAAGAATCTATTTTGGCATTATCGACAGCAAACTTAGGGCAATAGCACGGTTCTCACCCAGACAAAAGGGCTTCATGAATGAATCTGGGTGCTTCAACAACATTCACATCCTCAATGAGCTGCTGAGGCACTCAAAAGCCAAGAATGGCCTGGTCGTAACGCAGCTGGACGTGCCCAAAGCATTTGCTACCGTGCCGCATCAAGCCATAGGACACGCGTTACGTCGCAAAGTTTTTCCCGTATAGGTGGTACGTATCGTGGAAAATGCATATGAGGATGTAACCACAGTTATAGAACTCAATCAGGCGCCAATCGAGATACGCCTCCAGCGGGGGGTCAAGCAAGGTGACCCCCTCAGCCCATTACTATTTAATCTAGTTTTGGAGCCCTTGCTAGATAAGCTGGAAACGAGACCTGGGTACAGAATCGACACAGAGACGCAGATATCGTCCTTAGCATTTGCCGACGATCTGCTCCTAGTCGCGCAAACTGTACCACATGCTAAGGACCAGTTAAGTAGCACGGAAGCATACCTATCGAGTCTAGGTATGAAGATTGCTGCCAATAAATGCCGCACCTTCCGTGTAAACCGTACCAAAGACTCCTGATACTTAACTGACCCAGGCCTTGAACTCGACAGTGGAGAAGTGATACCGGTAGCGGGGGCCGGCGATCACCTTGTCTACCTTGGATGAAAGTTGTCTCCCTGGGTTGGGGTCACAACCGAGGGCATACGAGCCGACCTTGCTTCAACTCTCAGTCGTGTGCAGCGACTGAAGTTGAAACCGCATCAAAAGGTAGACTTAATCTCTACTTACATTGTTCCTCACTACCTGTATCAGTTGTCCATAGCGATGCCGGCTATGACACAGATAAAACTGATGGACCAGGAGCTACGGGTAGTGGTGAAGAATATTCTTCACCTGCCGCAGGCAACAACGAACGCCTTACTATACTGCGGTAAGAGGGACGGGGGACTTGCGATCCCGAGGTTGGAGTGGCTTGCCACCTCATCAGTCCTAAAAGCCGGCTTAAAGTTCGCGGACAACCCCGACCCGGCAATGCAAGCTCTTGCCACGGGCACTAAGCTCGAGAGTAGAGTTAGGCGACTCGCTCTCGATACCCGGATAGCTTGGCCAGTTACTGGGGAGCAACTGGCCAGCTATACTAGAACGCAAAAGAAGGCTGAGCTTGCCAGATGGAAGCGCCTTGGTTCTCAAGGAAAGTCGGCAGCGGCCTTCGCCGATTCCAAGATTGGAAACTCATAGCTTAGGGACCCCTCGTTACTCAAGCCATGTGGTATGATTACAGCCCTCAAAATGAGAATCAACTCATGTGCTGACAGGGCGGCCATGAGTAGAGCGACCAGAATACCGGATACTACATGCAGGCAATGTGGTTCATAAATTGAGACATTGGGACACATATTGGGGCAATGTCGTCACACCAAACCACATAGGGTTCGAAGGCACGATGAGATCAAAAACCTCATCGTGCAAGAACTCAAAAAGAAAGGCCCAGAGGTAGCAATAACGGTTGAACCGACGGTGGCGGCAACCGGAGGCAGGAATCTCAAACCTGACCTGGTAATACAAAGCCGGGAAAGAGTCTTCGTGGTCGATGTTACAGTCCGCCACGAAGACGGGAACAATCTAGCTCAATGGTGTACAAGCAAATTTGAAAAATATAGCCGCTTCCTACCTCAATTCCAGCAGAGGTGGGCAGCTTGCTCTGCTGAAGTCCTGCCAGTCGTGGTAGGAACCAGAGGGGCGATGCCCAGGGAGACCATCAAAAACCTAACTAAGTTAGAAATCTCTCAAAATCACGTGCTTCTAACAATGTCGTTAATAGCACTTCGTAGTTCCATCGAAATATACCATGAATTCATGGACTACGACGCCCCTCGGACGCGCCGCGGCGCGCAAACCCACAGGTGATTCAGCAACCTGTGGGAAAAACTCTGACCATTTTAGCCCTACTGCACTTTATTTTAAATGTTTCGTCTGATTTTATGTTTTTAATATATTATTATTATTATTAAACTTATTTATGTATTTATGCATTTTATCTGTGGTGTCCAGCTTCGGCTTATTTTAAAATGTACTCAACTCACCTTATTGGTGACCACCCCTATTGGTGGAGGGTGAGATTGGTGTTGTGCAGTAGGTGCGAGTCGTAAGATGCCTTCCAAGAAACCGCTAGTCACGGCGGCGGGGTGTGATATGGATTGAACTAAGCATTCCATCACAGGCGACAGCCTATACGAGGCTTTCCCTAAAAACTGTTGGGAGTCCGCCCTCACAGAGGGTCCCCCTCAGGCCGATAGTCGCTTTCTCTAATCTTGAGGACCCGTTCACCTAATTTTTTCGAAAAAGTCAAGACCAGGGTTCCGGCAGTAAAGTATGGTTTTTCCTCCCGAGGGAGGACTCTGGCCAGGAGTGCTAGAAAGTTCCTGATCTGGGTCTTAGCCGCCCCTAACCCATTTATTTGATACTGAGGACCACCTCACACGGATACATCGAGTAACTCCGGGACTGGAATAGGGGAGCCACCCCCTACTCTCGCATCCTCGCAGCTGGCGGCTGCGGGCGCTTCTTCTTCGGGGACGGTAGCTCTACCATCCCCTGTGTCTGTGGATAATGGTTCAGTACTGTCATCAGTACTAGCGCCAGCCATGATCCCTCTTTCTGCGAGGTATTTGTCTCGTCGTTCTTTATAACATTTCTGGGCCCTTTTGTCCCGGAGTTGTTTCAAAGTTTTCTCTAGTATCAGCTCCTGCATGCGCATTGCTATGCGCAACTCACCCCGGTATCGGAGTTCGCACTCCATCATTATTTGTTCCTCCTCTTCAGTGAAGATCACCAATCTTCTTTGTCGAGGAGACCGCCGTGTACCCGCTGCCCTAGCTTCGTTTCGGGTGAGTGGATGCCGGTGCCGCTGGTGCTGTGCTAGTGCACCGCGGCCGGAGTACCTTTCGCCGCAATCGGGGCAGGCCACGCTTACCGATTCAGGTATAGGCAAGTTACTTGGTATTCCGTCAGTCTCGGAGTCTGTTGACTCTGGTGGTGGGGCTGCCGCAGCAGCTCCCACCGGGCACTTGGGGACGTGACACAGCGCCGGATGTTTAAATATGTATATTTTCGAGCACATCCTGCATTTGAATCTGTTTCGTATATCCCTGTGTTCAGATTTTAGATGTTTAACTTCATCGTTTATGGTCATGTGCAGGATGTTTGTGCTTCTTTTGAGGCATAGGGGACATGACCTTTCTGTATAGGGGAGCAAAATTTCAATATCCTTGTCATCGCCATTTTCATCATCATGGGTCCCTTGTCTAGGATTTTGGGATGGTGTGGGCCCATCACCACCCCGATCTTCCGAGGCTATGTTTGTTCTGCTAGTAGCCTGTAAGTCATATGCGACTCGGCTGGCTGGGCCAAGCGCACGTCTTCCCCTAAGGGGTAAGATACAAAAGTGGTCTGTATCTCGCCCTCGGTTTCCACACCGACCCCTTATAACTGTCCGCAGACAGGCCCCGACCGGGTAATCGGGGGGCTGGTTCCCTAGTTAGCCGTCATCCTCGTTCAAATGCCAAACCAAAGGTAAGGCGGGTGGATGAGCGTTGCCCAGCAGTCACCGCGTGGAGGTCAGGAACCTTCGACCGCCATCAATACACCCGAACAAGCTAAAAATATTACACGTGGGGAGACATTTTGTTGAAATAATCGGAATGCAGTCCCTAACCGTCTACTACCGCTACACGTGGCGAGGGGGAAAGGCACGGAACGGTACAGCGTCGACAGAAGACAAGTGATTGACGCGACGGAACGTGGAAATGTACACCTCCCTGTCCAACTTTGGGTATGAAGTATACGAGGACGCTCGGTAAATCTCCACCCAAAATTACTAAAATGCTGGAGTAACTTGTTTTGGAAGTGGTTTCGCTAGATAGTGGGTAGGGACATGCTCAACGAAATCGTCTTGATTACCCACCTTACGGTTTTAACCTATGCACCTTCCCACTGCTTCTAGCAAAACCACCACCAAAGGAACCCACCAACCGCCGCCATCCAAAAATAAGCGAGGAAGGAAGGCCCCGTTCTTTTTTTTTTTTCTCAGTACAAATGATAATATTATAAAATAACATCCATATGTAAAAACCTATACAAATATAAAATAATATAATGGGTACGGACAGTGGGTAGGGACAGTGGGAATCTCGTTAATCCAGTGGGACATGTATCGCAGATCGCGATTATAGTATCAGTGTGACACATACTTCATACGCCATTAGTACACGTGTAACTGACCCACGGCATCGATGGTTTGAGATGCGGTACAGTGGCTAAAATACAAACAGAGCCCAAATAAATCCAGCAGTTACACGCGGCCGGATTTAGCTTCAATAGCTCGAGCCCGACGCATAAATGTGGTGTGCATTGATGTTGTGTGGGCGGCGATCTTTTTGGCCACTTCATTGTGTATTATATATATATAATGTATCATCATCGGGGTCTCGTCTCATCGACAAGTCGAATTCCCAAGCTAAGGGCTGAGTCTCAATAGATCGCAGCGTGGAAACTGCTCTACCAGGTACAACATCCTGCCAGGTACGTAAGGCATTTGGCTATTTTACAATCCTTTGGACATTTTGCGGATAAACCGCATATGAAATCAGTGCGACACTGCTATTCCGTCATGTGTTAACTAACGTGGTTTTGAATCACGGCATAAGTTATAGGTTATTATAAGTTATAGGTCTGTGCGGTCAAGACGAAAGTGCAAACAGCGCCCGCAAGCCAGGCAATCACAGCGCGATCTACGTTCGTGCGTCGATGGCCCTGGCGCGTCTCATGAACGTTGCGTGTATACTCGAGCCCCACTTGAGCACGCTATGGACGCAGCTCTCTTTGAGCTGCTTGGTCAGGCCAAGAGCATGCTTAGTAGGCTCGTTACAGCGTGGCCATACGCCACGTGCCCCGACTGTTATGGGCAAAAATTCAAAAGACTTGCCGGGCCAGCGAAGTCGTGCAGCCTCTATAAGTTTCGTATTGCCATAAAGAAGTTTCTTTCGCTGCCACGCCGGTCCTAAGCCTTCATTACCTTCCCAGGATATTTGCACATCCGCATCCGCGTGGGCTGCGATGTTGCGAGCCACCTCGTTGTGGCGACGAATTCGCTCCTCATGAGCAAGGCCGCACTTTTGAAGTACGTGGTGAAGAGTTTCGACGCACTTGCACCCTTTATTACGGCAGAGTCTTTGCTCTGCTGGCTTATACGGCAGGCCGTTGGTGGGTAGGTTATTTGTTCGTAAGTGAACAGCTCGGGCATAATCCCTACCGGACGAACCTGAAGGGCGGGTCCGGAGCCAGCTTCTTGAAGCGTCATCCTCAGAAGTATGTTGCATACCAGAAGTGGTCGGTTTCGAGGCAATAGCCTCTCGCCAGAGCTGCTCAGCAGGGATATCCCCCGCTAGATTCTGCAGCCGTCTTAAAGTCGCCAATGTTCTGTCTGACTGAATAACACACGACACCGTCTCGTCGCCAGTCTCTTCTAGGAGCTTAGTTATCCTCTTAAGGAGGATTTGGGGCACCACCCTTCTAAGCTCCGGGATGCCCAATCCGCCATCCTTGATCTTAGCATGGATGGCTGCGTCGGTTGTGTGTATAGACATATGCAAGTAGCGTTTAACTGCTCCCCGCACATGTCCATCGACATCTTTGAGCACCCCGCCCATAATTTTGAGAGACTGGAGCCCGTGCTGAAGTTTGGGCAATAGAAAGTCTCTCAGAAGCGTAAACTTCTGGTCGGGCTTCAAAGGGCCTCGATCGATGTTACCCAGCCAGACCTGCAGGTTTGGAATGTTTGCCTTTCTGACGCCTGTAGCGCCATAGTGGTGACCGAGGTACCTGAATGTAGAAATCATGTCTATTTGCGGGATCTTGACTCCGCCGACGGTGAGGAACGGTTTCGTTATGGGGAAGGGCCGCTTGTCCCCGAGGAAGTGACAGCACACAAGGCACTGCACTTCCTGGGATTCAAGATCATTCCTCTTCCTTGGAAAAATAACTCCACCTCCCCCAGCATCACCTGCAAGTCGTTCACAATATCAGCTATGATGACGAGGTCATAAGCAAATCCCATCGCTGCCATCCTCACATCGGAGTTGAGTGTGCCGCCGGCCCAATTGCGGTTAAGATATTCTAGTAGTTCATCAACAACTATGTTGAACAGAATAGGAGATAGTGGATCGCCCTGTTCCACCCCCCTACAGATATTGAATGGGCGTGAGAATTCTTTGCCAGCTTTGATAGTAGTTTGGCAGTTTGTGAGGGATTCACGTATATAATCCACTATCTCTTTCTCCAGTCCGACCCTCTCGAGGCCTCTAATGATGGATGAATGAGAGACGCTGTCGAAGGCCTTACGAATGTCAACCGACAGAACATTATAGCTCTTGCCGGCTTCCACTCGCGACCCGATGTAATGGTCTAAAATTAGAACATTCGCCAGCGTTCCATCCATCCTTTTGAAGCCTCTTTGATGGTGATTGAGTTGGACTGCCTCCCCAATACGGTTGTTGACGATACAATGCATGAGCCTCTGAAGCGAGGACCCGATGGTAATGGGTCTATTATTATCGGCTTTGGCACTATCACCATCCTTGGGGACCAGCACGGTCCTACTGTATTTCCACGTCGTAGGGTGGATATTTCTCCCAAGGATGATGGTATATACTATGCTCAACTCTTTGTAGTCAATCTTCTTGACGTCAGCAATTGTAAGGCCATCGGGGCCAGGAGCCGAGTTTTGCCAGTTGGTCTTGGCCATGCTGACGTCATCAGGAGAGATGGGGTAAAAAACCTCTGATGTTGCTGCTTTAGGATCACTCAATCAGTCCCTGCAGGGGATTCCCAGATCCCCGCAAATAATGTCTCCACCTCAAGTATGGTGGGTAGCTTTGGTGGCTCGTACATGCTCCGCCCCCCGAGCACGATATCGGCGAGGCCGGATCTGTCCCTCACAAATAGGTCCTGCGCCTTCTTATACTGGGATGCGCGCTTACTGCTGCCGCCCTTTGGCTGGTTGTAATGCCTGCCGGGTTACTGGTTCCTCCTCTGTACTCGATTAAATGGGGCCTTTTTAGTAAGCTTCGACCCCACCCAGCGGTCTAATGCGACCGCCAATTGCTCGGGGGAGCCGAAAATGGCCATATCGATAAGACGTCTTATGTCCCTGTGCCCAGCCTCGGTGAAGACGCCTCTCCCCTCCCGCAGGTACGACAAAAGTGGAGTTTAGGTTTACCAATGGTGCAGGAGGGTTCGGTGACTTCTGGGGCAGCACTGCCCCGTGGGCACAAGGACTACTTTCAGCCACAGCGTAGCTGTAGGAGGTTCCAGGTCCGTCATTAAGAGTGTCGCGGTGCGACTTTAGAGTATTCGAAGGCGAAGAATCCGTTGCAGGGCGATCATTTGGGCTATTGACCGCAGATCCGGGTTCTTTTGATATGGTTTGAATTCCTGAGCCACTTGGGCTTGCCACTCTTTTTCGTTTCCTCATCTCAGACGGCGCACTGGTGGGATCAGTCCCGTCAGGATTGCATTCATTCCTCTGCTTGTTTTGTCGACTTTTAGCCGGCTGCGATTTCCTCTTAGCGGGGTTGAGCTCCCGCGGTGAGCAGCTCTCCTTCGGCCGCTTCTGCTTAGCAGCTGCCTCTTGAGGCAAAGGTGATGCGATGGCGCTTGAAAGTAACCTGCCTTGGCTAGAGGCTGGATGTTGAATATCACGCGACTTTAAAAACGCATCAAGAGTTTCTACCGCGTCGCGACGCCCTCAACAACGGGCAACACACGTGCGGTGACAGGTTTAGTGCGTGGGAGTGGAGACAGCGGGGTGAGTGCAAGGGCTGGTATCAAAAAGTGAAAATCCAAGAAACATCGAGATTCTAACCTAAAACCATTAAGCAAGGTTAGAATCTCACGACTTACAGCGGGCCCCATATTGTCTTTGGGGCATCGCGCATCAGAAAATAATTACACCAGCTCAACTGCCCCCCGCAACGCCGGTTTCCGGCGTTTAGCCGCTACTGCCCTTTTGGCAGCTCCATCGTGTCCGACGGGGCCAAAAAGGCGTACAACTTATCATCTGCCGGCCCCAAGGACACACACCAAATCTCAGCTCCATATCTTGAAAGATAACGCCATACTGGCCGTATTAAGTGCGGCCAGGTATTAGGATACCAGGAGCTGGGAGGAGGTAGTTCCGGAGATAAAATCTTTCATACACGATATCTCCGGAACCAGACTTAGTAGCGGCAAACGGTTTTCACTGCCATACGCGGAAAGGATAGTACCTTTAATCTACCCAACACACGAAGACACTCAACAACAGCGGCTCATGCGCAATGGCGGATTCCAGGAGGAAAACTATTAAAACCGCTGTTGCGGCAGAGGGAGTCAGAACTCGTGACATAACGTCACGTCACCCCACCCGCAAGAGGAAACTTGATACAAATGAGGGAAAACCAATTAAATCCCCTCCAGCGGGTGGGAAATCGACTGCCGGTGGCCCAACAGCCACCGGAACCAAATTGGCAGGCTCAAGTACTATTTCTCTAATACCAGGGCCCAGTAATACGGTGACCCTGCAGCCTGCCAATTCTGCACCATACAGGTGCCATATATGCGAGAGGCCTTATGAAACAAAGAGTGGCCTCAATAAGCATCTTTTAACATGCGGCAAACGTGATAGAACCAAATGCCAATACTGCAATGCAGGATTTACAACATACACAGGGGTGCGGCTTCACGAGCAGAAGGCACACCCTGAACCAGAAAATGACAACAGGAGGAGGGAACTACGAAGGCCTGATTCCGAAATCTACGATATACTGGCAACCATCGAAACCCAGACGCATAAAGGCCCTTTTATGGCGAAAATGGTTGCGGAATCAGGTCTGACGAAGGACCAAATACGGCATCGAAGGGACAAACCTATTTATAAGCAATACCTCGATGCCGCTACGAAGAAACAACTAATCCCTTCTCCCAGTGTGCCCTGTGAGCCGCCCACCTGCCTAACGAGCGAGAAGAATGACTATCAGGCAGCGACATCGACGCCACCATCAGCTCGCGACGATGTCAAAGAAGGTGAGTGCTCCGCCGCGGTTGCGTCCACACTATTGCCACTCTCTCCAGATCCGACGACAAACAGGAGGAGGATTCGGCAGGAATCGATGTCGCCTCTGTCGCAGCCTACAGTAAGGAGACCCCGCACCGAAGCAGATAACCTCACCGCCAACTCCCCCGCACAGGTCGAACAAACCCAGGTGGTCATTGAACCAGCGCTGCGCGAATACTTCGCGTCTGAACGCGAAGCAGCGCTGGCCAATGGGAACGGCCATCTGGCGGACCTGTGCCAGGCAGGATCATCGCTAGCGATTAACGATCTTGCCTCTTATCTAGACAATTGGATACTAGAACTATTCCAAAAAGGGGGGAGGAAATACAACTCAAATGGTTACAGAGGGGGACAAAAACCAAAAAATTACGGAGGTACTAGACCAGGAAGAGGTCCACGGGTAGAATCGTACAAAAAGGCCCAGGATCTCTACCTCCATAACAAAACAGCTCTAGTGGATAAAATTATCTCAGGGATTCCACTAGACTCTACCGAAGAGGTACCCCCTCTAAAAGCGGTTGAGGAACTGTATAGCGGGATCTTCGAGCGGGCTGCGACGGAGACGATGACGATTCATCCCGAACCACTAAACACCGATGCCACCACTTTCGCTCCATTCGTAGAGAGCGAATTAGAGGCAGCCAAATCAGCATGGGCTAACTCAGCACCTGGTGCTGACGGGATAACGGTGGCATCGGTCAAAAATATGAACAACAGGGTGCTATGCGTTTTATATTCAATCATTTTTATGAGAAACGTGCACCCTGCCATCTTCCTGCGGTCTAGGACCACTATTATACATAAAGACGGCCAACGGAGCGAGGCGGCGAATTGGAGGCCCCTTACTATCGAGAGTGCCCTCCAGCGACTGATGCACAGGGCGATGGCTAACCGCTTGCGGAGGGTCGTCGCCCTGGAAGCCAATCAACGCAGCTTCAGTACGCTGGACGGCACTCTCGCGAACTGTATGATTTTACACTCGTACATTCGGAATAGGGTGTCCTCCATAAAGAGTACGCGGTCGCTTCACTCGATTTACGGAAGGCCTTTGACACCGTTGGACATGGGAGCGTTGTGGGAGCTCTCAGACGGTTTGGGGTGGACGAGCGTTCCATACGTTACGTTGCGACGAACTTGGCAACCTCTGTGACGCAGATTCGGGTGGGGCAGGAAACGACGAGGGACATTAGGTTTAGCTGCGGTGTAAAGCAAGGGGATCCGCTGAGCCCGCTACTATTCAATCTAGTGATTGATGAACTTCTGGCCGGGCTTAATAATGGGGAGCGAGGCGGAACAATATTGCCTGGGGTGAAGGTGTCTGCCATGGCGTTCGCGGACGACATAGTCTTGCTCGAGGATCAGGAGCAGAATATCCCTCTGGTCCTCGATGAGATTGTTGAGTTCGCGAAGTCCAAAGGCATGGCACTAAATCCTAAAAAGTGCTCAGCCATGGTCGTGGGATTGGCGAGGGGTGTCCTGGCGCCTAGGAAAGATTACAAACTTACGATCGATGGACGCCGCGTGACCATGTGACGGAGGTCAACAGCTTCCGTTATCTTGGCCACGAGGCGTCCGTCAAAGGACTAATGCGCCCTTCCCTCGCTAATCTACCGACCTGGCTGGCCAATCTTAAGAAATCCCTTCTTAAGCCGGATCAGAAGTTCGCAATCCTCAAAAATCACATTATCCCTAAGCTATTCTATGGCCTGCAAAACCCCAAGGTGACGGCGGCCACCTTGAGGTCAGTGGATCGTCTGGTGAAGGGCTGCGTCAAGTCTGTGCTCGACCTTGCGGAGCACACTCCTGACGCTGCCCTTTACGCAGCGATACGCGATGGCGAGCTTGGGATACAGCAGCTGAAACTTAACATTCCTCGTGTTTTCCTGAATCGACTAATTAAACTGATCGAAGTCGAAGATGACCATGCGCTGTTGGCGGCGTTGCAGAGTGACTGCACGCGTGAGCTAATGCACAGGCTGGAGCAGCTCACTTTCGAGTTTCCTGCGGTACAGCTTTGGCGGGAGCGACTAATAGCTTCTCCTACCCTAGCGGGTATGGAGAATGCCACCGATGATTCGGCTAGTCGCTCCTGGCTTCAGGAAAAACCCAGAGGCTGGACCGGCAGGGACTTCGTAAGGGCTGTCCAGCTAAGGAATAACAACCTCCCTACAGCCGGTGTGCCACCGCGGAAAACAAGATGTGTAGGGCTGGATGCTGACGCGTGGAGTCGATCTGCCACGTTCTCCAGCAGTGCCCCAGTACCCACTGGGAAAGGATCAAGCGTCACAACGAGGTTGCCAAGAAGGTTGCAAAACACTGCCGGGCGAAGGGTTGGACCACCCTGGAGGAGCCGTACGTCCGCCACAGCGACAGAACCCTCTTCAAACCTGACATAGCTGTCATGAAGGGGGAACAGGTCGTTGTGGTGGACGTGGGGGTCAACTGGGAGGGGAACATCCCTCTCGCCCAAACGTACACCAACAAGAAGGCAGTGTATGACAACCCCAAGTTCCACGACGCCGCCCGGGGATTATGGCCTGCCCATAATCCTCGGTGCGCGTGGAATTTGGCCACGATGTAACGGTGAGACCTGGTCCACGCTAGACATCGGTGCTCCCTTACGACGCTCCTGCGTCCATTCGGTGCTCAAATGGGGTAGTACCATCCACTCGGCCTTCGGTAGACGGGTGTGGCGACGGCGTCCTGCGCCCGCCAGACGATAGTCGCGGACGCGGCTGCGATGGAGTACTCATGCTTGCTTGCGATGCCTTTTATTTCATTATAATCCTGCCCTTTGCGGTATTTTAACTATTTATATATTTATTATTTTATCCATTGTTTTAATATCGGCATTGTTCACTGTTCACTTGTTTAGCTCATTTACCATTATGTCCTTATTGTCAGTACCGTCCATCTGTACTGAGCGCGTCATATACATTTACATGTTTATATACATTGTGATTGTCCCTTTACAACTAAGTGTGTATTTGTATGTGAATGTATTTTATTTTTATCCTTATCTTATATTTACATGTTTATATACATTGTGATGTCACTTTACAACTATGTGTGTATTTGTATGTGAATCTAATTTATTTTTACCTTATATTTACCACCTAATTCTTATAGTGTATCATCTATCTTAATTTACACTATTACTGTTAATTCTAATTTATAATATGGCGCGCAGCCACTTTTACTCTAAGGCCTCGAATTAGTAAGACGAATACTTTGTATGACCAACCCCCTACACCAAGGGTACATGTATTTATTATATAAATAAATATTTTACATAGCCAAATGCCTCGTCATCTAATTAGTGACGCGCATGAATGGATTAACGAGATTCCCACTGTCCCTACCCACTATCTAGCGAAACCACTGCCAAGGGAACGGGCTTGGAAAAATTAGCGGGGAAAGAAGACCCTGTTGAGCTTGACTCTAGTCTGGCACTGTAAGGAGACATGAGAGGTGTAGCATAAGTGGGAGATGGCAACATCGCCGGTGAAATACCACTACTGTCATCGTTTCCTTACTTACTCGGTAAGGCGAAACGCGTGCGCGGTTCGCTCACGTGGCTGCGAGGCCCAGAGTGCGCTCGCAAGGGCGTTCTGGTGTCCTCTTCGGCCGCCATTCAATGGTCAGCTCAGAACTAGCACGGACCGGGGGAATCCGACTGTCTAATTAAAACAAAGCATTGAGATGGCCCTTGCGGGTGTTGACACAATGTGATTTCTGCCCAGTGCTCTGGATGTCAACGTGAAGAAATTCAAGCAAGCGCGGGTAAACGGCGGGAGTAAGTAACTATGACTCTTGAGTCATAAAGTAAGGAAGCATTTACACAAACCACCCAATAATAAAGGCGCGAGATTGACCAAGGCGCCGATTCTCGGCGCTGGTCGTACGAAGAACGGGCCAGATTTACTTCTGGCCCTACCCGCAACTAACACAGGCGGGAGTGGGGTCAAGGGGAGGACAGACATAAAAATGGCTATGCCCGTCAGCGGCGCCAAGACCTGCAATTCTGGCGCCAGATCCTCCCCGTACCAATGCACGACGTGCGACCATGCTTTTTCGTCAAGTGCACAATTAAGAAGACATGTTACGGCTAGGGCTTGTGGCGACAAGCTTAAGTGCGGGCACTGCCCGCAACGCTTTGGCAGTTTCAGATCAACGAGGCTACATGAGCGTAAGGCGCATTCCGTGGAGTACGCCAAAGAAGCCGCAGACCTTCGCGATCCCGTGCCTGAAACAGAGATCTTTCAGATCATGGCCGGGATCGAGGCCCAAAATCCAGCGGGTCATATTAATAAACGCATGGCTGAAGTGACTAGTTTGACGATAGACCAGATACGGGGCAAGAGAAGGAAACCCGACTACCAGAAATATCTGGAACTGGCAAAGAGGAAACTCCAAGCCCCTGGTAGTCGGAAACCCACACGATCGGTGGATACACCAGCCATTGCCCCGGGTCGCAGCACTACCACGGGTTGCGACGAAGCGCCCATGTTGGCCTCGCGTAATATTCAACATCCAGCCTCTAGCCAAGGCAGGTTACTTTCAAGCGCCATCGCATCACCTTTGCCTCAAGAGGCAGCTGCTAAGCAGAAGCGGCCGAGGGAGAGCTACTCACCGCGAGAGCTCAACCCCGCTAAGAGGAAATCGCAGCCGGCTAAAAGTCGACAAAACAAGCAGAGGAATGAATGCAATCCTGACGGGACTGATCCCACCAGTGCGCCGTCTGAGATGAGGAAACGAAAAAGAGTGGCAAGCCCAAGTGGCTCAGGAATTCAAACCACATCAAAAGAACCCGGATCTGCGGTCAATAGCCCAAATGATCGCCCTGCAACGGATTCTTCGCCTTCGAATACTCTAAAGTCGCACCGCGACACTCTTAATGACGGACCTGGAACCTCCTACAGCCACGCTGTGGCTGAAAGTAGTCCTTGTGCCCACGGGGCAGTGCTGCCCCAGAAGTCACCGAACCCTCCTGCACCATTGGTAAACCTAAACTCCACTTTTGTCGAGTACCTGCGGGAGGGGAGAGGCGTCTTCACCGAGGCTGGGCACAGGGACATAAGACGTCTTATCGATATGGCCATTTTCGGCTCCCCCGAGCAATTGGCGGTGGCATTAGACCGCTGGGTGGAGTCGAAGCTTAATAAAAAGGCCCCAATTAATCGAGTACAGAGGAGGAACCAGCAACCCGGCAGGCATTACAACCAGTCAAAGGGCAGCAGCGGTAAGCGCGCGTCCGAGTATAAGAAGGCGCAGGACCTATTTGCGAGGGACAGATCCGGCCTCGCCGATATCGTGTTCGGGGGGCGGAGCATGTACGAGCCACCAAAGCTACCCACCATACTTGAGGTGGAGACATTATTTGCGGGGATCTGGGAATCCCCTGCAGGGACTGATGATGAGGCCATCAGTGATCCTAAAGCAGCAACATCAGAGTTTTTTTATTCCATCTCTCCTGATGTCGTCAGTATGGCCAAGACCAACTGGCAAAACTCGGCTCCTGGCCTCGATGGCCTTACAATTGCTGACATCAAAAAGATTGACAACAAAGAGTTGAGCATAGTATATACCATCATCCTTGGGAGAAATATCCACCCTACGACGTGGAAATACAGTAGGACCGTGCTGGTCCCCAAGGATGGTGATAGTGCCAAAGCCGATAACAATAGACCCATTACCATTGGGTCCTCGCTTCAGAGGCTTATGCATCGTATCGTCAACAACCGTATTGGGGAGGCAGTCCAACTCAATCACCATCAAAGAGGCTTCAAAAGGATCGATGGAACGCTGGCGAATGTTCTAATTTTAGACCATTACATCGGGTCGCGAGTGGAAGCCGGCAAGAGCTATAATGTTCTGTCGGTGGACATTCGTAAGGCCTTCGACAGCGTCTCCCATTCATTCATCATTAGAGGCCTCGAGAGGGTCGGACTGGAGAAAGAGATAGTGGATTATATACGTGAATCCCTCACAAACTGCCACACTGCTATCAAAGTTGGCAAAGAATTCTCACGCCCAATCAATATCTGTAGGGGGGTGGAAAAGGGCGATCCACTATCTCCTATTCTGTTCAACATAGTTGTTGATGAACTACTAGAGTATCTTAACCGCAATTGGGCCGGCGGCACACTCAACTCCGATGTGAGGATGGCAGCGATGGGATTTGCTTATGACCTCGTCATCATAGCTGATAGGGTGAACGACTTGCAGGTGATGCTGGGGGAGGTGGAGTTATTTTTCCAAGGAAGGCGAATGATCTTGAATCCCAGGAAGTGCAGTGCCTTGTGTGCTGTCACTTCTTCGGGGGACAAGCGGCCCCTCCCCATAACGAAACCATTCCTCAGCGTCGGCGGAGTCAAGATCCCGCAAATAGACATGCTCTCCACATTCAAGTACCTCGGTCACCACTATGGCGCTACAGGCGTCAGAAAGGCAAACATTCCAAACCTGCAGGTCTGGCTGGGTAACATCGATCGCGCCCCGTTGAAGCCCGACCAGAAGCTTACGCTTCTGAGAGACTTTCTATTGCCCAAACTTCAGCACGGGCTCCAGTCTCTCAAAATTATGGGCGGGGTGCTCAAAGATGTCGATGGACATGTGCGGGGAGCAGTTAAACGCTACTTGCATATGTCTATACACACAACCGACGCAGCCATCCATGCTAAGATCAAGGATGGCGGATTGGGCATCCCGGAGCTTAGAAGGGTGGTGCCCCAAATCCTCCTTAAGAGGATAACTAAGCTCCTAGAAGAGACTGGCGACGAGACGGTGTCGTGTGTTATTCAGTCAGACAGAACATTGGCGACTTTAAGACGGCTGCAGAATCTAGCGGGGGATATCCCTGCTGAGCAGCTCTGGCGAGAGGCTATTGCCTCGAAACCGACCACTTCTGGTATGCAACATACTTCTGAGGATGACGCTTCAAGAAGCTGGCTCCGGACCCGCCCTTCAGGTTCGTCCGGTAGGGATTATGCCCGAGCTGTTCACTTACGAACAAATAACCTACCCACCAACGGCCTGCCGTATAAGCCAGCAGAGCAAAGACTCTGCCGTAATAAAGGGTGCAAGTGCGTCGAAACTCTTCACCACGTACTTCAAAAGTGCGGCCTTGCTCATGAGGAGCGAATTCGTCGCCACAACGAGGTGGCTCGCAACATCGCAGCCCACGCGGATGCGGATGTGCAAATATCCTGGGAAGGTAATGAAGGCTTAGGACCGGCGTGGCAGCGAAAGAAACTTCTTTATGGCAATACGAAACTTATAGAGGCTGCACGACTTCGCTGGCCCGGCAAGTCTTTTGAATTTTTGCCCATAACAGTCGGGGCACGTGGCGTATGGCCACGCTGTAACGAGCCTACTAAGCATGCTCTTGGCCTGACCAAGCAGCTCAAAGAGAGCTGCGTCCATAGCGTGCTCAAGTGGGGCTCGAGTATTCACGCAGCATTCATGAGACGCGCCAGGGCCATCGAAGCACGAACGTAGATCGCGCTGTGATTGCCTGGCTTGTGGGCGCTGTTTGCACTTTCGTCTTGACCGCACAGACCTAACGCTATAACTCGTGCCGTGATTCAAAACCACGTTAGTTAACACATGACGGAATAGCAGTGTCGCACTGATTTCATATTTATTTATTTATTTATTTACTTATTTATACATTATTGCCCAACAGAACTATTCCAATTAAAGGACAATATCATGGTAACTTTACTTATAATTCATACATGTAATGTATACCTAAAACTAATTTAAAAAAATAGAACTAGCTATTATAATAGTACCTGAAATTCGACACGATCTTACTGATACAATCAAAATTAATGTCAGAACTGTCTGCTATGGAATTATAATTGTTGCATATAGAATGTAGCGGAGAATAAAATAATACATTTGTACGGGAGGTACTGCAGTAGAAAGTTAGAGTCTTCTCGTATTTAACCGTGGAATATAGAAATTTAACCTCTGGAGAAGTTCTGGTGCATCCACTCTGTCGTGCAAAAGCTTATGAAGGAATGATAGGCCAGCAGTGGAACGTCTTAACTGTAGAGACTCTAGTTCAAAACGACGCAGCAGAACAAATTGAGAGACCCCCCTTTCTGGATATGTGCCATCGATTTTATAAACACAGAATTTAAGAAATTTCCTCTGCACATTTTCTAAGATGCTTATATAATACGCATAGAAAGGAGGGTTCCATATCAAACAGGCATACTCAAGTTTTGGTCGCACCAGTGAAATAAAAAGAGCTTTTAGTGCCGCTTCGTTGGAAAAAGATCGGCAGTTGCGCATTATGAAACCCAGAATCCGTGTCGCTTGGGAAGTGACGCATGCTACATGGACAGAAAATTCCAATCTACAGGAAAATGTTACACCAAGATCTTTAGACTCTGTTGTTCTCTCCAAAACCGCATTATTTATGGAGTAATCAAACATAATCGGGTTCATTTTACGACAACATGAACATACTTTACATTTGGAAATATTTAAGAAGAGAATATTATTGTCGCACCACTGTCTGATGGTATGCAGATCGTCCTGAAGGGAAATACAGCGCTCCAAATTTGTAATTTTGGTGTAGATTTTCAGATCATCAGCAAATAGTAGACATTCACACTTTAGTGAAGCGACTAGGTTATTTATGAAGAATAAAAACAGCAAGGGACCTAGGTTTGAACCTTGCGGTACTCCAGAGGGAACAGTATAATTTGCTGAATAATAACCATTATAGTAAACATATTGCGTCCTATTAGAAAGATATGAGCTTAAAAGACCTACTAACGAGTCACTAAGGCCGAAATAATGAAGGCTATCCACAAGAAGATGATGGTTTAATTTATCGAAAGCCTTGCTGAAATCCATGTAAATAACATCGACTTGTTGTTTCTTGTCTAACGATTCTGCTATATACTGCGTAATTGTCATTAAATTTGACGTAGTGGATCTACCTTTGATGAAACCATGTTGTGATGGAGTAATTAGGCTTTTAACGTTCACGAAGATAAAAGAGTAAATGGCCATTGCAAAGTTGTTCAAAATGCTTATAGCTCTATAGTTGAGTACATCAGATTTATCACCATCTTTCAGGACCGGACACACCTTAGCTATCTTCCAAACATCAGGAAAAATTCCACTCTTTAATATAGCATTGAAAATTATCAGCATCGGCTTGACGAAAACATGAGCACAATCTTTAATAATAAAACTAGGTATTTGATCACTACCAGACGTAAGTTTATTTTGAAGCTTAGAGAGAGACTTCAGTACATCAGCTTCCGTTAATTCCTCTAGATAAATACATGATGTTGAAGTGACACTAACTAAAGAAGAGGGAATATTTCGAGGAGTAACATGCACACTCTTAAAATAGTCGGCAAATGCATCAATAACACCTTGTGGAGTACTGAATACGTTGCCGTTGTACTGGACTTGGCCTGGTATTCTGCTACAGTCTCTCTTATTCCGAATGTATGACCAGAACTTCTTCGGGTCGTTGATTATACTGTCCTCAACCGACGACAAGTACTCACTGTAAGCAACTCTAACTCGCCCCTTTATGATTCTGCGCAATCTAGAAAATTCATTGTAATGGTAAACATTGCGTGTTCTCTTATATTTTCTGTAGTAATAATCCTTCAAATTTATGTTACTTATGATTTCTCCAGTATTCCAAGGAGGGTACCTGAATTTGCAGGTGTTGGTATATTTAGGAACATAAATATCAAATATTGAAAAAATTTTAACATAAAATGTATCGCATAGTTCATTAACATCAGTAATTTTACGTAAAAAGGACCAGTCAATATAACTCAAAGCATTATATAAGCCACGTGGTGGACGTTTCTTCCAACTGTCGGTTCTCGACTTTATGGATGGCCTCTTTCTTGGGTGTCCTGCGCTGGGGGGTCCAGATGAGCGAAATACGCTTTCTTGGCAGCCGGATTTTTCATCACCAGCGACATCGCTTGAGATGCGTATCTGGTGGCAAAGTCTGTCAGCTCCTCGACGTCGCTGGCAAACGGCATTTATTTTGTAGATCCCCGTCTCTTCCTTCGGGAGATCTACTTTAATCAGCGGTATCGCTTTGCCAGTCCTTCTGCTGGTCATCCTATTCACCCTCTTTGGGTGGAAGCCTTGCCTGACCAAGTCTTCTCCGATCTCTTGGCAGGTGGTTATGATGGGCATTCCCCTTAGTACCACTCCCAGTGGCTTATCCTCTGGAAGGGAGTAAGTGTGATGCTCTATCTTTGCATCTTCCAATGTCTTACGGATCTTTCTGTAATCATCGCTGTCCTTCGGTTGGACCTTGATACCTGCTCCGGTTAACCGTGCAGGCTTTTCAATTGTGAGCATCTTCTTGCTCACTACTTCTTTCCACTGTTCTTCCCTATGGATGTACAGTGGCGGTGGTCTCTTTTCCTTTTTCTTTGCCTCCGTCTGTGGGGGGGTAGGAATGGAGGACTGGTCCATCAATTGTATTTCTGCAGGTGTCTTTGTTGCAGAAGTACTGGCTTGGTTGTATTTGGGTGCCTTTTTCTTGGGGGCATCTTCCTTTTTGCCCTCGTCTGAGGAGGTGCTGTGCCTCTTCTTCTTTTTCTTCTGAATTTCGGTCTTTTCCTTGGGGGCATCGATCTCGATGCCCTGCATCGCTGCCATTTGCTCAATGAGCCTGGCAGTTCTTTCGCGCTCTTCGGCGCTTGTTTTCTTTTCCTCTATTAGCTGACGGGTTAAGTCCGTCAGCTGGCAAGATAGCTCAGCTATCTGCTTTTTCAAGTCTTTGTTTTCGTTTCTCAGTTTTCTGAGAAACCCCCCTTGTTGGGCACCCTCTTCGTCTTCGTTAGACGAGGAATAGACGTCTTCTTGGTCGTCCAACATCTTTCCCACTGCTTTGAGCGTGTCTTGCTCTATCACTACCATCGACTTCGCAAAGTTCGACTTTTACACAATTTGGAGCCTTGCCTGACCAAGTCTTCTCGGATCTCTTGGCAGGTGGTAACGATGGGCATTCCCCTTAGCACCACTCCCAGTGGCTTATCCTCCGGAAGGGAATATGTATGGTGCTCAATTTTGGCATCCTCTAGAGTTTTCCTGACCCTTCTGTATTCCTCGCTATCCTTTGGTTGGACTTTAATACCTGCACCTGTCAGTCGTGCAGGTTTCTCGATGGAGAGCATCTTCTTGCTTAGCATCTCCTCCCACTGCTCTTCCTTGTGGATGTAGAGTGGTGGTGGCCTCTTCTCCTTCTTCTTGCTTCCCTCCGCCGTCGGAGATTTGGGGGTGGAAGACTGATCCATCGCATCCACTTCAGCTGGGGTCTTGGTTGCCAACGTGGACGCTCCGTCATCGTTGTTTCGAGGTGCCTTCTTCCTAGGGGCTTCTCTCTTCTTTCCTTCTTCAGAGGAGGTGCTAGGCAGCCTTTTATTCTCCTTCTTTTGCGGTTTTTGCGAAACCGTCTTATCGTTTCCTTCAGGCTCTATTAGGTCATTGAGGTCTTCTACCTCAATTCCTTGCCTGAAGGCCATCAGCTGGATGAGCTTGCCGGCCTTTTCGCGCTCCTGTGCGCTCACCCTTCGCTCTTCCACCAATTGGCGGGTCGGGTCTGTTAATTGGCAGGATAGCTCGGCTATCTGCCTCTTTAGGTCCTCGTTTTCCTTCTTCATCATGTTGTTATTGCTCGTTTTGCGGTGACCAGCTTCCTCTTTCTCACTGGTTGAGGAATAGTTGGTTTCCTCGTCCGTCATTTTCTGGTGCACTGTCGACTTTTTTTAAAAGTCCGACTTTTACACAATTTCCAGTTGTGCCGCGCGCGCTGGAAACTGTATAATTTTTGTGCACTGGTGCCCTTTTGGGCTCACTGCACTTTGCCCGGATTGTTTGTTGCGTCCTTTCCCAGGCAATTTCAGATCCTGAGGAGTGGAGGGGAAAAGTAACTGGCTATTCCCCCCTTCCCACCCCTGGCTTGGAGTGAGGCTAGGTGGCTCGAGTACTGCACATTTTTCGCTGAGTGTGTGCTGACGAGCGAACTACACTCTCCCTAATTTTGACCCTTTTTTTCTAAAATGGCTCGAGCGCGCACGCGTTATGGAAGAGCGTGGTGGACATTTCTTCCAACTGTCGGTCTCGACTTTTATGGACGACGGCCTCCTTCTTGGGGGTCCTTCGCTGTGGGCTTTGACCTAAGCCCCGCATTAAGGTTGTGGAGCCTTTGCTCTTTCCACGTCGACTGGAGTCAGTTACTCGTCAGTCAGTTGGCAGTTTGGCTTTGTCTCCTGAGGTTAACCTCGAGTCCGTGCTTAACTCCGGCCACCTCAATCGACAAACTTCTTTTTGTCCACCCGTTGTACACGGGCTGTTCCTTCCCCTCTTAAGCGTAAAACTATTCTGTCTTCTCCCTTTTCTCTTTGGCGTCATCAGCGGCTAGGGCCAATGGTCTTCTTGTTGCAGTTGGCTTTTCGATATTTTATCACCTTGTCGTTCATGGGTCGTAA